GGTTCGATCCTCAGCACCACATACCAACAAAGATGTTGTGTCCGCCGAGAACTAAAAAATAAATATTAAAAATTCTCTCTCTCTCTCTCTCCCCTCTCTCACTCTCTCTTTAAAAAAAAAATAAATAAACCAGTTTTTTTTTTCCAAAACATAACCTGCCTCTAGTATTTCATTATGGTAACGAAAAGCCAGCTAATACGCCTGCCACCAACAGGTCCCCTTTATTCCTTTAGTTCCCTTTCTGCATATCTCTGGGGAACCCTGGCTGTTGGGGTGAGCCTAGAGCTCTCTGGGATGGCTGAACATGTTCCTCTGCCCTCAGCGTTTCTGGGAAACTTGATGGCAGGATCCAGGCGACCCAGTGGACATGGGTTTGATGGCGCTGGTGGGACGTGGTGGGTGATGTGAGCGCTCAGTGTGGCGCCTGCTCTCTAATGTAAACCATTGTTGTCCTCCGAGCCTCTCTGTTCCCTCACTGGGTGGCCAGAAGGACTGCTTCGTGCTTTTAGCCAGGTTCATTTTGTCAGGAGAGCAGCTGCTCACCCAGTGGAACAGGTACAGGAGAGCTGGGGAAGGACACGGCCTGTGGGCCAGCAAGTAGGAGGCTGAGGCAGGAGGACCACAACTTCAAGGCCAGCCTCAGCACTTAGTGAGGCTCTGCCTTAAAATAAAAACAAAAAGGTCTGGGGGTGTAGCTCACCCCTGGGTTCAATCCCGGATCCCACAAAAATATTATCAAAAATATTAAATTTGGGGGCTGGGGAGGTGGCTCCAGCGGTAGCGCGCTCGCCTGGCATGCGCGGGGCGCTGGGTTCGATCCTCAGCACCACATACAAATGAAATAAAGATGTTGTGTCCACCGAGAACTAAAAAATAAATATTAAAAAATTCTCTCTTTTTAAAAAAATATTAATTTAAAAAACTTAACATAGGGATAGCGCTGCAAAAATAAAAAATAAAGAATGAAAGGAAAACATGAGAGTAACACCTGTTCCTTTCTGCGACAGGGACACGGAGGTGCTCCTGAGGAGACTCGGGGTGCAGGGCTGGCAGACTCAGCTGACCAGAAGCCGGCCCGCCACGTGTGCTCCCGTCCCTCCTGGAACCCTCTCGGGGACCTCCCGGGCTGCTGGCCGTGGCCTCCAGCTCTGCATCTTTTCCCACCTTGCACTCTTTCACCTGGAGGACGGGGTCCATGAGGGCGGCCTGGACGTTGAGCGCGCACTTCTGCATGTCGAAGGTGGGGAAGGCGGCGTCGGGAAGCGGCGTCAGGATGTCCAGCATCCCCACCCCGGAGAACATCAGCACCGCCTCTGGGAACCAGACGGAGCCCTCGGGCAGCTAGGGGAGCCAGGCCTGCGGTGAGACGCGGCCTTATCCTGTGGCTCCCAACTAAAGACGCCCCCCCAAAGCAAAGCCTTGGGTCCCACGGCGAGCTGCTCTCTGGCTCCCAGCCTGGGGGGCCTCGTGGGAGGTGGCCAGGAGTCTCGCCTGGCCACAGGGCACCAGCCTCTCGGGAGAGTCAAAGGCAGCTACAAGAATTTGTCCCCAGGACACCACAGCCCCGATGCCACCATGGGGACCTCAGAGAAATGGTCCTCACATTTGTGCTTCACCCAATTAACTCACTGTAGTCGCCACCAGGAACTTCTGGGAAGCCTGGGGGGACAGAGGGGAGCACGGGAGACACGGCAGTGGGGGAGGGCTGCCGGGCAAGGCACTGGGAGGCCCCAGGCCAGCGCCTCTGTGGCCCTGGTGGACGGGCCGGCCGGGCCGTGGACCCTGCTTCTCCACCTGTCAGATGGGGCAGCAGAAGTGACTTCCCCAAAGGGCTCACTGAGGACTCTGGGCAAGGTGACAGCCGGGACTGAAGGGGACCTCACAGGGGGACAGGGGACAGAGCCTAGGCAGGGGCTGGGGAGTGCAGGTGGGTGGCAGGAGGGTTCAAAAGTGCGAGCAGGGAGGGGCTGGGGCTCGGTGGGCAGGGGGCTCGCCCAGCAGGCACAAGGCCCTGGGTCCACCCCAGCACCACACACACATACATGCACACGCACACACGCACACACACGCACACACACAGTGCCAGTAAGGAGGATTTTGAGTGTTTCTGACACAAAGGAAAATGGACGGCCGAGGTGATGGACAGCCAATGACGCTGGCCTGTCGCTCACTGAATACACACATCGGAGCACGCAGCTCAGCAAGCACACACATGAACAAGCCGCGGTGCACACACCTCCCCTGCACACGTGTCTTTCCATACACACACGTGTGCATCAACGTGCATCGGCTGACTTTAAACCCAAGTCCAGCGTCTCCCACACCCACAGACGCAGGGGGCCGGCTCTGCTGCTCCTTAGGTGCTCGGGTCTGGCCTCCCGCTGCTGCTATTTTAATAGCCCCGAGGAGCTGGCCTCTGGCCTCCCCGTCCCGAGGGCGAGCAGAGGAGGGGGAGGGGCTGTGGCCACTCGACTGTCACCCACCTGGATGATGGAGTTGGACAGGAATTCCAGACTCCCGAAGTACAGAGCGTCCTCCTTGGTCAGCACGGCCAGCGTGTGCTCATCTAGGACAGACAGGCAGACCCGGGTGGTGGCCTCTGGCGGCCTCGTGGCTTTGCTCTGAGTGTTGCAGCGAGCACTCTCCCAGTGACCCACGGCAGCCACCCCACAGACACCTCTGGAGCCCACACGTGGCTTTAGGTAACAGGCACAAGCTGGGCTCCTGCCTTTTTCCTTCTGTCCTTTTTCCTGATCACAGCCATCGAATAATGAGTGTGGGCTGTGTCTCACTAGGGTGGTTTTCTTGGGGTTTTTTTGCAGTGCTGGGGATGACCCAGGCTTCCTGCAGGCTAGGCAAGCGCTCTCCACCAGCCACAGACAGCCCCCCTTAGGCTTCGACTGGCATTTCCCTACTTTCACATCCGCTGCAGCCTGATTTACAAAACCCAAGACTTGGAACAACCCAAAGTCTATTGACGAAAAAATGAAGGAAATGTGGTCCAGCCATACAATGGAATATTATTTGGCCTTAAAAAGGAAGGAAATTGGGGGCTGGGATTGTGGCTCAGCGGTAGAGCGCTCGCCTAGCACGGGCAGGACCTGGGTTCCATCCTTGGCATCACATAAAAATAAAGACATTGTGTTGTGTCCATCTACACCTAAAATATAAGTATTAAAAAAAGGAAGGAGGGGCTGGGGATGTGGCTCAAGCGGTAGCGCGCTCGCCTGGCATGCGTGCGGCCCGGGTTCGATCCTCAGCACCACATACAAAGATGTTGTGTTCGCTGAAAACTAAAAAATAAATGTTAAAAAATTCTCTCTCTCTCTCTTAAAAAAAAAAAAAGGAAGGAAATTGGATGGTGTGGGTGTAAACCCAGCTCCTTGGGAGACCAAGGCAGGAGGATGGCACGTTAGAGGCCAGCCTTGGCGACCTTGCGAAACCCGATCTTGAATAACAGCTAACAGGGCTGATGGGGCTCTATGTCTGGCATGTGCGAAGCCGGGGCTCCATTTGTTCCAGTCCTGGGGGAAAAAAACAAAAACAGAAAGAAAGAAAAGCACCATGTACCGTTGGGTTTTTTAAAAATAAATATATGTTTTAGGTTGTTGATAGACCTTTATTTCATTTATTTATTTTTTTATGTGGTGCTGAGGATCGAACCCAGGGCCTCACACATGCTAGGAAGGCGCTCTACCGCTGAGCCCCAACCCCAGCCCTGGATTTCTTTTTTTTCTTTCTTTTTTTTTTTAGAGAGTGTGAGAGATGGAGAGAGAGTGAGAGAGAGAGAGAGAGAGAGAATTTTTAATATTTATTTTTTAGTTCTCGGCGGACACAACATCTCTGTTGGTATGTGGTGCTGAGGATCGAACCCGGGCCGCACGCATGCCAGGCGAGCGCGCTACCGCCTGAGCCACGTCCCCAGCCCCCCCCTGGATTTCTTATATAACTAATTTCTCTAATTATAAATTAATTTTAAACAGATAAATGGACACGGAGGATAGGATGCAATGTACAATTAGCAAACGGGAAGCACTGGCTTTTCTTAAAAAGTCAAGTGGTCCTGCAAATTCTCTCACTGATTGCCTCGGAGTCTCTAAGCTAATAGCTGTCTCAGGGGAAAATCATCCTGGAAAATCTCACTTATTGGACAGAACCTGTTCCTCCAAAGATGGAGCACAGGACAGCCCCAGGACAGCCCCAGGACAGCAGTGGCCCAGCCGGCAGGCCCAAGGGCGCTGGAGTCGGGCGAGCTGCTTGAGATATACATATTTGTGTGTGTGTGTGTGGGGGGGGACACAGTATCTTTATTCTACATTTCTGTGGGGCCGAGGATCGAACCCCATGCCTCGTGCTTGCTGGGCGAGCCTCTGCCCCTGAGCACCTCCCCAGCCCTTGCTCTGTGTCTTCAGAGACAGACGTTGGGGTCCTGACCCAGGAGCCGGGTGTGGCCTTGCAGACGCCCTGGACCCGCGATGGCCTCACCCGTGATCTCTCCCATTTTCCCGAGGGGTGGTCGGGGCACAGGGAGCCTCTGGGGCCATGGTGGCCGCAGCTTCAGTGGGCGGCTCGCTGGACCCCATCCAACCTGAGAAACGTCTGCATTTGGAAACAGGGTCTCTGCAGAGGTGACCTTGGTAAAAGGAGGTCGTGGGGGTGCCCTGGTCCCACATCACCAGGGACCTTGTGAAAAGGGGAACTCTGGATCCAGGGACAGACAGGGACAGAGGGAGGACGGCCACCTGCAGGTATAGGCTCAGCCGAGGCTACCGGAGCTGGGAGCGGAGGCCTGCCTGGAGGCTGCAGAGCGGGGCACAGACTTCGGGGGTCAGAGCCGCCCAGTCTGTGGCTCTTGCTTCTGGCAGCCCCAGGGATGGTGCCCAGCTGGCCCCGTGCCCTCGCTGAGGCACAAGCTGTGTCTTCCCCGTGTGCCTGCTTTGTGGCTGGGCTGCGTCAGGCAGGTCACTGGCTAATGGCCGGGCATGGAGGTTTCTAGAAGGTACCGGTAGGGCAGGCACGCACTGGCAGTGATGCTGTGGATGGAGATGTTGAGTCTGGAGATGGAAGTGGACAGAACCTGGGATCCTTTGTGCACCTGGACAGTTTCGAAGAGCTGACCTGGGGGGGACAGGGGAGAGTCATAAGGACCCGTGAGCATCCTAGGCGCTGAGACCAGGGCCACCCCTGCCACCAGCCTCCTGCCCTCCAGTGGTGACCTTGCTCTTTTCCTGTTTTACTCCTCTGCAGCTCCAGGGGTCAGCCCACCGGTGCTCTAGGCCCCCACCCTTCATATTTTGAGGCAGGGCCTTGCTAAATTGCAGAGGCTGGCCTTGAACCTTGATCCTCCTGCCTCAGCCTCCTGAGATGTTGGAATGACAGGTGTGGCCTCTGCACTCAGCTTAGGCCTTTTAATAGAGATAGTGTCAATCAGGGACAAACAGAGCTTTTCAGCTGGGTGTGTGTCCACCATGCGGGAGGCCCCGGTTCCCCCGCCCAGCACCAACAAAACCTCAAAGCAGTGCCTTCTTCCTGGGGTGGGCTTCCAAAATGGGTGGCCAGCCTGAGACCTTTTCTTCCCCTGGCAGGGTGGGGGCCACACCCACGTCCCCAGCTGCTCTGTGCCTTAGGATGCGGCTGTGTGCCCCCAGCCCAAGTGCTCCAGAGGCCCTCCCCGCGGATCCCTGGCGGTGGAGGGCTGAGCCACAACCACGGCGCTGCAGGTGCTGGCCAACCCCCACTGTCCCTCTGCTGGGGAGGTCCCTCGTCCATCCTGGATGCTATAAGGTGGGCAACAGCCCGCCCACCTCGTGGCATCACTGACTGTGGCCCCAAGAGAAGATCTGAGGTCTCCTGGTCAAAGTTGGGACCTGTGCCTGCGGAGCCTGGGGCTTTCGGAACCTGCCCACCCGCCCTCCAGAGCCGGCCAGGGAACTGGGGGGGACGGGTGGGTTTCAGTGGAGCGAGAACCTGTCCACCGGGGTCTGCCGAGGGGACCTGGCTCTGCTCCCTGTCCGGGCCCCGCATCCTGCAGGCCGAGAGCGCAGCCCGCTCACCTGAGTTGGGGGAAACCAAGAGGGTCTTCTCAGACCAGAGGATCAGAAAGCCTCTCAGGCCGGGGCAGAGGAAGACGTCCAGGGGCTGGTCGTAGCTGAAAGCCAGCCCCGGGCTCCGGTCCAGGGGCTGCTCCGAGTACACGAACAGGCCCTAGAGAGACCCGTCACGGGGACGGAAGCCACGTGTGGGCAAGCCGCGGCTCGCACACTCAGGGCCCGGCAGCACGCAGGAGGCCCTGACCCCCGCCACACACACACACCCCCTGTGGTCAGTGGAACTTGTCCCTCCAACCTCGGCCTCCTCGTGAAGGCCAGCAGGTCTCAGCCCGGGACCTCCACCGGGGAAGACTCTTCCTCCCAAGCAACACTGGGCCACGTCGGGGGGTCTGTGGGGCCTGGGGGGCTCCTGTGTGCGGAGCAACACCCGGGCACCCAGAACGCCCACCCAGAGACGGGCCTGGCCCATGCCCACCACACCAGGGCCCGAACCAACCCCTGCCTGCTGGGCGGGCCCTGTGGTCCCTGCTGTGCTGGGCTTGCGCTCTGCCCTCTAGAGGTAACCAGGCCACCTGGGAAGGGACAAATGCCTACATCGAGGCCTCGAGGACTGGACTGGTCACTGCGAGGTGGGCTGCTACAGGGCGAGGCTGTCCCGGTGTTCCGCCTGCTCACAGGCTCTGCCGTGGCAGGGCAGCCCGAGAAGCCTGGCATCCAGACGGCTTCCCTAGCTGGTCCCTCTCTCCTCCAAATCGGTGGCACATGCAATTTAGCTTCTATTCCTAAAATCCCTGTGAGGGGCTGGCTCTTCCACTGGGCAGTTTCCAAAGTCCCATCCTATCGGCCCGTCAGAGAATTCCCAGGACAGGGTCAGAGTCCCTATTGCACAACGTCAGCCTGACCACGCCTGTCATCCCAGTGACTCTGGAGGCTGAGACAGGAGGACTGCGAGCTTGAGGCCAGTCTCAGCAACTCAGCAAGGCCCTGAGTGGTTTAGCAAGACCCTGTCTCGAATTAAAAAATGAAAAGGCCTGGGGATGGGGCTCCCCAAAACAGAGAAGCATGGAAGTGGAAAGGGCAGGGGAGTGGTCCGGGTGCAGCGCCCACACAGCAGGAGGCCCGGGGCACATCCCCAGCACCGCCATCACCCATCACCCCAACAACAAACACCCAGCATCCTGCCGCGTGGCCCCACCGACACAAGACGCCGTCCCCTGGGACGCACAGTGCAGAGATCCCAGGGGACTGCTGACCCTGCTCGGGGTCTGCCCGCCCCGGCCTGCCACCCCCACCCAGCCGCTGGAGGACACAGACCAGCCCTGGGCAGGAGAAGTGCTGCGTTCCAGGGCCTGCAGGGTGCTTGAGAGACACAGAGTGGGTCTGCAGCCCCCACTCACCCCCACGGTGCCGCGAGGGACTGTGGCTGGCACTGCCAGACGGCGGTCAGAGGAGCCAGGGAAGCACCAAGCACCAAGCCAAAAGGCGAGACTCAGCCTGCGCTTGCTGGGCCCACCCACACGGGTCGCACTGACCCATGGCACTTTCCCCACAGAGGTGCACGGGCGGGAGCCAAGGGGACTGGCCCAGTGGCCCCGGGTCATGTCCCTGTAGGGAGCACTGCAAAGAAGGACCCAGAGGCCAAGGGCAGGGGTAGGGGGCTGGGAATGGAGAGCCCTGGTGCGAAGCGGAGGGTCAGCCAGGTTCTGCCTCCTGCCCCACGGGGGACCTGGCACAGGCCCGCGAAGGAGCCTTCAGACAAAGGAACCGAGTCCCATGAGAGCGCGGCAGCCAGGAGGCCGAGGCCTCGACTCAGCGCCTCCCTGCGGCTCTGAGGCTCCACTCCCCCAGGGGGTCTTGCCTGGAAAAGCCTTGGACACCTGCGGCCTGGCTTGAAGGCACCACGGTTCTTTGGTTTTCAGTTCTGGGGGCCGGACCTGGGGACTCTCCACCCCAGAGCCACACCCCAGCCCTTTACGGTTGCTGAGGCTGGCCTTGAACTTGCAATCCTCCTGCCTCAGCCTCCCAGGTCACTGGGATCTCAGGAGCGTGCCGTTGGGTCGGGCACCTTCTTTCCTGCTCTTTTCTGTTTGTTTCGTTTTCAGTTCTGGGGACTGAACCCAGGGCACCTGACCACTGAGCTACGCCCCAGCCCGGCTAGCATCTTCTCACCTCTTTTTTTTTTTTTCTTTAATATTTTTTAGTTGTCGACGGACCTTTATTTTGTTTACTTATAGGTGGCACTGAGAGTGGAACCCAGTGCCTCACACAGGCCAGGCAAGCGCTCTGCCACTGAGCCCCAGCCCCATCTCCTGACCCCTCCAGCGATCCCGACCACAGGAGTCTGAGCCCGCAGACCGGAGCAAGGAAGAGAGGACCAGAAACATCGCCTCACTGCAGTGTGATGGCGCCAAAGGAGACGGAGGCGGGGCTGGGGGCTGCTCCAAGCTTCCAGGTCGACTCCTGTCTGGGATGGGCCACCTGGAGACCTTTCAGAGGCCCCTCCCCTCACCGCCGGCTCCCTGTGGAAGCCTCTGATGGGACAAGGCTCTTTATTCCTGCATCTCCCTCCAGCAGCTCCTGGGGACTGGCTCTCCCGAACTCCGGGGCTGCGCACCCCCTTCACGGCCTGGCAAAACCGGGGGTTAACCCGCTAAATCTGGGTCTGAGCTTCATTTTGCACAGGCCGAATCATCCTCCCAACTCAGTCTCACCCTGGATGGCGCCCGTGAATCCACCACAGGGTTCAGAGTTTCCAACGACACAGGCGCCACATTCGCCCTTCACCCCGGGAGCCAGGGAGCACTGCTGGGTGCAGGGGAGAGAGCGGGGAGCAGGGCCAAGTCGCCTACCTTCCCACTGTTCACGAGCAGCAGCCCGATCTGTGACAAGGAATGGAAGTAGAAGATTCCCCCTAAAGACCCGGCCAGTCCCGCCTGTGAAGCACAAGACAGTCCCGTGAGTACACACACCCACTGCTGTGACGGTGCCTGCTTCCTTCTCCCTCTAAGTGCACATTATCTTAGAAGCTATAATGGAAGCCTTTCTTCTAGACCCACTTCCTGTCTGCGGCAGAGGAGCGGGTCCTGGAGGACGGCGGCTCTGGTGTGGGTGTTTGGAGGACCCCACGCGGTCCGGCCCTAGGAGCTGCCTGGTCTTCCACGCCGGGTGGATCCTCATTCCCAGCTTCTGGCTGTCCAGAGAAGCGTCCAGCAGCCACCCGCAGCAGGAGACCAAGGTCCGGGCCGTCCTGTGGGGGAGCGAGGCCTCTGGGACCCCGGAGCTCTGTGCCGACCTCTTTGGAGCAGCGCCTCGCACCAGCTGCACCGCCCCCTCTTCTCTGGCAGCGGAACCTCCAGGAACCTCGACTCGGGAGCAGATCGGCCTGCGAGCTCAGCTCCACGGGCACTGCCCAGGCTGGGGGGCAGGCGACCGCCCTGGCTAACGGGTGGGTGGGCCCGTCTCCGGGAGTGAGTCCACAGAGCACGTCTGCCACCTTCCTCCCGCAGGGCAAGGACGGCTCACCTTGCCACGTGTGCTAATGTCATCAGGGCCACAGTCCGGGACGAGAGAGGGAGGACCAGAACCCAGACGTCACCCTCAGTGACCCACAGGCCACCATGCCAGCGTGGATGCAGGAGAGGCCCCTTGTTGGCTTCGGGGGAAGGGGACGAGGGGCAGCCAGACGGCGACAGGAGAGTCAGGAGACCCACGCGAACAAGCGTCAACAGTGGTCGGCTCTTGTCCTGGCTCAGTGGCCCTGAGCCCAGGTAGTCCCTGAGCGGAGGGACCTTCCTGTCGAGAAGTCCATGGGAAAACAACTCCGAGGCATCGGGAGGGAAGAGGGAAACCGTTGGGTTAATAATCGGGGACCTCAGTGATGCGCGTTTGCGACCACCCAAGGTTCATTCTTATCTTGTGACCAGGTCCCTCCAGGACTCATTTTGAATGAAATGTGTGGCCAGCTCAGTTCTGGGTTTTGCGGGGCTTCTTGGTAGGGCAGAGAAAACAGATTTGGGATGTTGGGGAGCGCGGCAGCGGGCCAGACTCCTCTGGACGCACCCCCAAGTGTGCCTTCTGAGTTACACCAGAACTTCCCACGCCCTTGGTGGCCTGAGGGGCTCTTGTCCTCTGAACTGCTCTGCCATGCTGTGTGACCTTAGGAAGGGCACTGCCCTTCTCTGAGCCTTAGCCCCTGGGTTCATTTCCAATGGCTGCCACGGCAGAAGACCGCATTCAGAACAGCAGACATTAAGTTAAGACAACAGAAATACGTTGGCACAGTTCCGGATGCTCAGAGTCTGACATCAAGGTGCCGGCTAATCAGGAGCCCCCAGAGCCTCTGAGGAAGAAGCTGTGTCCTGTGTCCCCAGGCTTCTGACACCAGAAACGGCCCCTTGTCCCAGGGCCTTCTGTAGATCCTCCCAGGTCCTCTCCTCTACCAGGACACCAGCCTGGACTTGGGGCGCGACCTACTCCATCTGGCTGCGCACACCATCTGGACTCGTCCCAGGGCCAGCACCCCACCTCCCAGTCGGATGACCACTGGGTGCACACACCCGCCAGTGTCCTCTGAGATTCAAGTTGAACCTTCCTCCTCGGCAAGGACGGTGAGGAGTGGGCTCCGTAAGGTGGCGGCAGGGGCTCCATCCTCCTCCAGGGCTCGGACTGGAGAAGTCGCCCTCCCCTCTCCTGCTCGCCTGCCCTGGGGGCGACAGGTCTGCCTCCCTGCCTTTCCGGCCTGCCCTTCCTGCCTGCCCTTCCTGCCTGCCCTTCCTGCTTGCCCTTCCTCCCTGCCCTTCCTCCCTGCCCTTCCTGCTTGCCCTTCCTCCCTGCCCT